TCTCCAACAAAAACAACGACTACCTGGATCTAGCTCGCGGGGTACCCAAAAATGACCTCGAAACTCGCCCAAAATTTGAAGCAGCCGGCTCTGGACTTCTTGTCCTTTGTCAATGCCTCCCCCACCCGTAACTAGCTCCCTTCCTATTGTCGTTCTTGGTCCAGTGACTTGTCTAACTCGGGCCAAATTCAGCCTTCCACGCTGTCCAATCGGCAAAGGAACTTCTATCGAAGGCCGGCTTCCAGGAGATCAAGGTATGTGATTCCATCCCAGTGTTGACGAAAATACTAACTGCGCCTCCAGGAGAAAGATTCTTGGTCTTCCACTTGCCGTCCAGGTGGAAAGTATTACTTGACCCGTAACAGCTCAACCATTGTAGCGTTCGCCATCGGCAAGAAATGGAAGGTACATACACATAACACCCCGCACCTGCTCAGCTTTTCCCTCAAGACTGAAAAGCTAATATTTATTCATGATAACTAGCCTGGAAACCCGATTTCTATGATCGGTGCCCACACTGACTCTCCCGTGTTGAGGATTAAGCCTGTTAGCAACAAGCGCGGCGAAGGATTCGTCCAAGTTGGCGTAGAGACCTACGGAGGTGGTATTTGGCACACATGTAACGAAGCTTTCTATCCTCTTTCCGTGTGTTGCATACTAATGAGATCTAGGGTTCGACCGGGACTTGGGTGTCGCAGGCCGTGCTATGGTGCGGACCGGTGACGGCTCCATTGTGCAGAAGTTGGTCAAAATCGACCGGCCGAGTATGGGTTCCACGTAACATTAACTTTGATGATATGTGACTGACATCTTTCGCAGTTCTCCGGATCCCGACCTTGGCTATCCACCTTGATCGCCAGGAGACTTTTGCTTTCAATAAGGAGACCCAATTGTTTCCTATCGCCGGCCTTGTCGCTGCTGAGCTCAACCGCACTGCCGATTCTGCTGCCACCGGTGAAAAGGCCGCAGAAAATGGTGAAACAGAGAAAGGAGACTTCTCTCCACTAAAATCAGTGACCGAGCGTCATCACCCCTACCTGGTGGAGCTTATTGCTGCTGAAGCAGGAGTCAAGCCAGCCGACATCTTGGACTTTGAGATGATCTTGTTCGACACTCAAAAGTCTTGCCTTGGTGGCCTGCTGGAAGAATTCGTCTTCTCGCCCCGCCTGGATAACCTGAACAGCTCGTTCTGTGCCACTGTTGGACTAATCGACTCCGTTGCCGATGCGTCGGCTCTGGACGATGAACCATCCATTCGTCTCATTGCGCTATTCGATCACGAAGAGATCGGCAGCCGTACCGCGCAGGGAGCTGACTCCAATATACTTCCAGCAATTATCCGTCGCCTGTCTGTTCTGCCTTCTTCCACGTCTGGCAATGATGACTTGGCTACCGCCTATGAGGAGACTCTGTCGACGTCATTCCTCCTCTCTGCGGACATGGCTCATGCTGTTCATCCTAACTACTCTGCCAAGTATGAGAATGATCACCGGCCGGAGATCAACAAGGGTCCTGTGATCAAGATTAACGCTAATGCTCGCTACGCGACGAACTCCCCTGGCATTGTCCTACTTCAGGAAGTTGCACGCAAGGCAGCAGAAGACGGTGGAGAAGGCGTCCCTCTCCAGCTCTTCGTCGTTCGCAACGACTCCAGCTGTGGAAGCACAATTGGTCCAATGTTGTCCGCTGCACTCGGTGCTCGCACGCTGGACTTGGGTAACCCCCAGCTGAGCATGCACAGTATCCGGGAAACTGGCGGTACATATGACGTTGGACATTCTATTCGGTTGTTCACTAGCTTCTTCAAGCATTACGCGAACACGTCAAAGACAATCTTTGTTGATTGAAGAGCTGGTTACTTTTGTAGATAGGTATCTATAGTCTATAGAGTATTCGCTGTCTATAGTGCTCAGAAATTCCGTTGATGTCAGACCATCAATCAAGTCAATCAACATTCATCGAAAGTAAGAACATTATATGATGGCGAGAGGTCCTGCAGAAAGTAAATCCCGAATGAAGGTGTCAGAGGCTTTGACATAGGCAACCATGACAAAGGGCCATGCGACCATCACTAAAGCTACTGGGCGGAGTCGCAATGTGGAGCGTTAAGTGACTGGAGTCCATCGGAAATTTGGGGCAGCTGGGGGCCTTCGGACCGAGAAAGGCCCGCGCACATGACTCCCCATTATCGTCTCCCCCGACCATCACAGTCCATCTCGAGGATAGTGGCATCTCACCCTCCACAGGTCTGCAGTGGCGGCCTCTACCTGTTCATTCAAATCATCAGTTCATGTAGATGCCATTCATGCCCTCATGACCCCCTATGACAACTCCGGATGTCTATCGAGATGCGGAATACATCGCTGACGTATCCGGCATCCCGCATGGAAGCGTCGCGGACCTCATGGGGCCGCAATCTGGTGATGATGGCCGCTTCAAGAAACTGCAGTCGGCAACGAAAGTCGCCTTCATCGATCGCTTACTCCGCGATCTCGATATCTTGATTTACTGCCAGCTATCTGCACTGTATTACATGGAGTGAGTCCCGCCAAGCTGTTGGACTGCAGACGTCACTTCGGGCAAGCCCGCCAAGTGAAGCAGATGCTGACTGGGTTCTGCCTCCGTAGTTGCTCAATCATACTTTTCGCGATTCGTGCTATTGTGCAGCTGATATTCTTCACTCCCAAGGCACCTCCATTTGACCCCACACGGAATCAACCATTCATCGGGGCTATCTTCGCCAGTAATGTATTCTGTATGATCCACCACAAGTTTTTCGGTCAGCCGGAGGCTGGAGAAGCAACGAGAGGCTATCTCCACGGGGGATTATTGATAGACTTTATTGGACAAAAAGCGCCCGTCTCGGTAGCCCAGCTTCTACTGTCGGACTTGCTTGTGCTGTTCCTCGACCTGGTCATGCTAGGTCTGATTGTTGAACGGGTGAAGACGACTGAAGCGACTGCTCCTGTATCCACGATACCGGGTGTAATAGAGACACCCAGCGATCAGGATCATGATTCCGAGGAGCGCGGCGTTCTTCGGAACAGCTCGGCTCAGCCCTCCGGCGATGACATAGAGCTTAGTGAGATACGTCCACGCGATGAACATACAGGTCTTAGTACGGACGAGCAATTGGAGCGAACGGAGCTACTGGCGGATCCTTCAGAAGGCGGACGTATACCTGGCGCCAGGAATGGCCACGCCATGGATGCTTTTGCGTCAGGAGAGGCAGTGATCATGGACCTCGGTATCTTTAATATCATTCGGGATCAATGGCGTTATAGTCCGGCTGTGGCAAGACGAACTTCTGCTTATATGCCCTCTGACCAGACAGCTACTTTTCTTCGAGAACGCTTTGGACTGCAGGTCAACTCCGAGGGACGCCTCGAGAGGGTAGCGACATGAGCCGGTTTACTCCTTTTATCTTGTACGTATTGACCTTGGGTCCATACTGGCTGTAACACGTGTAAATATTATATCACTATATAACGAGTTCTGAACTCGACGTTCCAAATCTCTTGCATTGTATACACCTAGTAGCATCTAGGCGAGAGTGTTTGTCAAATCCGCTATACGATGATAACGAATCGAAAGGTATCAGACACAATCAGATCCACACTTGAACATAGCATCTGAGACAACAAAATCCATAACAAGTCATGATAATATTACATAGCGACAAGGGTATGCCATTCACCAAACAAGAAAACGAATAAAGACAACATCTAAGGAGTCGGTGGCTTCTCATCCCCTTCGCCCCCTTCCTCTCTTGACTTAATTCTGCGGTCCAGAATCTCATCGACAATACCCATCTCCAACGCCTCCCCAGCGCCCATGAAATAATCTCTCTCCATAAGTTTCTCAATCTCCTCCAGCGACAACTCCTTCTTCCCCGTCAGGTGACGCTTATAAATCTTATTCAGCTGCTCCCGAACCCGCAGGATCTCCTTTGCATGAATCGCAATGTCAGTCGCCTGTCCAAAGTACCCGCCCGACGGCTGGTGTATCATGATAGACGAATGGGGCAGGCAGTAACGTTTGCCGGGGTGGCCGCCGCAAAGAAGAAGGGAGCCCATCGATGCCGCCTGACCAACGCAGATGGTGCTCACGGGGGAGGCGATGTAGGTCATTGTATCGTAGATGGCGAGACCTGTCCAAGAGTTAGACCATTGCTATATCATCCAGCACTATATGGGATCCATAATGTAGCGTTGCCCGGGAATGGGAAACACGGACCCGCTGTGACCGAGCCTCCAGGGGAGTTGATATACAAGTGGATCGGCTTCTGGGGGTTATCGGCTTCCAGGAAGAGGAGCTGAGCGACGATAGACGCCGACATGGTTTCGTCTACTTCGCCGTTGAGACATATTATGCGTTCCTGGGGAGATCGGTTAGTGTGAGGCCGTTTTGGGGGTGGTGTGGCGTGTGAACTCTCGCATTGGTACCTTTAGAAGTCGGGAGAAGATATCATCTATGTGATGTGGTTAATACTGCTGGTTTTCTTCTTTTACGTTGGTGTCAACGTACATGTGTGCCAGCCTCCTCCCTGAGATATAGTTAGTCATACATTACCGCGATATGAGCAGGTGAGGTCAAAGGAACTTACTACTGTCTCTGTTATAAATGGTGTGGGAGTCCAGCCCCGCGGCGGATTGCCCTTTGATAGTGACGGGACAGAGCTGGTGAAACTCCGCGACAGCACCGGGGGGATAGAAGAACGAGGAAAGAAGCGACTAAGTCGCTGTAACGAACGTGCAGGGTTCATTCTGAGAAGAGTGTCTGCTGACAGACAGAGCTTTGTCACAATCAGGAAAAGAATGGAAGTGAAGACGACCGTACTCCGATCGCATCTGAGCAGAAGGTCCGCCGCCAAGCTTCGGAGCTTGAACAGCATGGATACGGTTTAGCGCCGCGGATAGTGGAGTTTGGTTTCTTTGGGTTTGGAAGGCTAACCAACTCTCTCTCACTTATCTGATCTGCTCTTCTTCGCGAAGCACACCATGGAGTGCCTCCACGGCCGTATTTCGTACGCCTCGTGGCGTTTGAGGGTCTTCCAACGGCTTTTCTTGTCCTCTTCGGAACTCAATGGTCGAAGAACCATCTCGAGACGTGTAATCGACCATCCAACCACTCCGACCGGATCACAATTCCAACACCCCGAATACCCAAAGGAGCCCGGTCAATATGATGACGCGGAGTCCACGGCCAGTGAAACAGAGGAGCCTCGACTCTCGCAAACCCTCCCCCAATCACCCCTCATGAAGACCGTGCACCCCAACCTCGAGAAGAAACACAAGAAGCGGGCCGCAAAACCTGAAGACCTGGAGGACCTCCGCCGGAACCCCTGGGCAATGGCCCTCGCCTCACCTCCACGGATGTGCTCCGCAACAGGGACACGCATTCCTAGGGCATTTCTGACCGACTGGGGGATGCTTAAACGGCCTAAATCCGACGGCCTATGGTTCATGCCCCTGGGGCTACTCAAAGATGAAGTGGCCGCTGCTGCTGCAGACCATAGATCGCAGCGAGCTGCCGGCGGTACATCTCTGCCGATACCCTATATGGACATGAGCATTCGGAACCTTGTGATACGACTCGTGGACCGTCTCCCGCTGTTGAAAAAATTGAATTCGGTTTTGGCGTCGCACGTGTACGGGACGAGGTCGCCTGTTGCGCGCATGTTCCCCTATCGGTGGAAACATCCACACGGCCCTTTTACTGTTCGGGAAGAGAAACAGATCATCTGGCGGGAAGATATGCCTAACTTTGTGCTGTCAAGAATGAGGGCGGATGTGGTCAAGCAACTTAAACAGGCCTGTAATAAGTATAAAAGACTGGATGCTACCAACCGCGTCTGGACGGCTATCGACCTTAATGAGTACTCCGAGGCGGCTATTCTGAAAGAGTTGAAGGGTGTGAAACCCTTCCCGCGCATGGAATGCGGTGCGGTGTTGGTTATGGGCACTCTGATTAACAGCCAGACGGGGGTGATTGAACCAGTCTCACAAGATAAGGCAACATCCAATGCTATGGGGACACTCCCTGAATATCTTATGTTGCCGCATCTCCCGTCCAAGGTACCTGTGTTCGAACTTGCGCAGCTCTTCTCTCAGAAGGAGTTAGAGGAGATCTGGGGTTATGATTCGCGTTTCCAGAGTCCAGCTTTGTATTTTAGACCGAATGACCCGATCACGGTTAATGCGATGTTGGCGCTGTGGAAGCTGAAGGGGTTTCTCAGGCATGATTCGGTTTGCGAGACTCCCGGTCCCAGTGATGAGTCGCAGTTATGATTATCTGAAGATAATTGCTCTGATATCTGAGCGCAAGGTTATGGTCAAGCTCTAAATCTTCTTTCCCTATACGGCGAACCAACTTCTATGTATCTATATGGCTTCCCTAACTATATCTATCGATAATGTATATCCCTCGCTCTCTTGCCTAGCACTCTAACTTTAATTTATCATCAGTTCGACCCCAAAAGATCTGAAAGCTTATCCAGATACGCTAAAGGCCTAGTAGGCCCCGTCTCGAAGTCCTCCTTACTGCTGACCCCAGTAAGGACTCCCAGTGTACCTCCAAGCTTTCCTTCCAGACCGAACCGAATATCAGTGTTCGCACGATCACCAACCATGCACGCACGGTTCCGGTCAAACTTAAATTTCCCCTCGATGGCATCCATCATCGCCTGATTGGGCTTACCCAACGAGACTGGCTCCTTGCCTAAGGCCATAATCAAAGGTGCACTCACAGAGCCAGCACCAAGGAAAAAGGTCCCCGAGCTCGGGAGAGTAGAATCGATATTCGTCGCAAGGAAGACAGCACCACGACGAACATAGTGAAACGCCAACGACAGCTTCAGGTAGTTGAGATGGAAGTCCAGTCCCACCAAGACCACCCCGACTTCAGGATCCAGCAGCTCCGGATCTCCCGCAGCAATGCGCTTATAGTCCTCAGGCGTTATGTCCCGGCGATACGCGGGATCAGTACCACCGATAAAGGGGACATTCTCTGAGCGCAGCTCCTGCTCAATACCTGTTTCACCCACGACGAAGACTTTGCGCTTGTTCTCTGGGAGCTGGAGGATGCGGGAGATGTAGATTGAGGCGCTGTATGAGGAGGAGAATATCTCTTCCTTTTCTTGTTGTCAGCCATCGTCTGCTTTGTGGGTAGGCTCCGGGTGTGGCTGATGTTTACCGTTGTGCTTGGGATCCCGAGGGAGTCGAGTTTCTTCTGGTAATCGGCGCGCGATTTGGTGCTGTTGTTCGTGACGAACACGACTTGCTTTCCTGGTTGAGACAAATGCAGTTCAGCCTTTGCGCTTGAATGTGTCTCACGGTGTTTCGGCCCTTGGGTGCATACCTCTGCTTCTCAACAGCTCCAGTGTCTCGTTAGTTCCGGGGAAGGTATGGTCGCCAGACCAGAGGACGCCTGTATAAATGGTCACTTTCAGCATTGCTATCACATCGGGCTAGATATCGAGGCATCGCGGGGTCTGGAAGAATGCGAAACTGAAGGTTCGGGATACCAACCATCACAGTCAAAGAGGAAGACCTGAAGCAGATTATTAGTCACTTTTCTACTCGCAATTTATCAAGTAAAACTGGAGGGAGAAAAATATAGAGTCAATGCTTACGTCGAACTTGTCTATGAACTCGCGGATTCCTTCACCGTCTCCGGTCAAATAGCGGGGTGATTCTGCCATTGCGGGGTATGTTCGAATAACTTCTGAAAGGGTGATCTGGAGTGTCTACTCTAGCAATTCTAGTTCTCTGCGGAGAAATGATATTTCAAGGGCTGCGAAAAAAAAAAAACAAAAAGAAAGGAAGTTTACAAAAGTTTGATACAAAAAGAGTCATTCCAAAACTGTTGAATGCTTGGCTCATCTGCCGGTGACGCTTCGGAGAGAATGGCGAGCGGGGCCGCACGTGGTTCTCAACTCAGGCACACCGTTCGCCTTATACGTAATCATAAACATTCTAGAACAAGTGCAAGCAGGTGGATGGGTGTTCATGTATATTATTTTGGCATAGGCTACCAGTTGACAATCCCTTCCTCCATCTCATGAAACCTCATACAGTCGTACCTCTTCGGTCTTTGCGCCCGAGAACAGAACCAACAGTTGCCGCGCTCTTCATTCAGCAGCGGAAACCTGTCCGGCTGAAATATCAGGACGAGCCATGCTCTGTTGCGCCCGTGCGCTGGTGGCTTCACAGCCTGAATCCACCGTTGCTTGGGGCCATAAGCTCGAATGAGGGAGTCCGACAGAGGGTTTCTGTCGGATAGTGTGATTAGAGTAGATCTGCGGGAGACATCCTCATACATATACAAATGAATGGCCATTGAGATTGTCTCTCATTTACCAATCTGGCCATTAGGCGCCGCCCAAGATACCGGAGATCTTCAGAGCCACGTCCAAAATTGACAGATGCTCGTCTGCACCGTCGACTAAGCGCTTATCCATCTCGGAGAAAACCATGACGATCTTGTTCTTCTGAATATCAGGGATGGCATCATTGTAAACCACTCGGCGGTAAAGCTTGCCCACTGTTAGCATCGCATGATGGAAAAGCTCATATAAGAACATACCTGTGCAAGCAGTTGTGTTGCACTCCACCCATCCGCAACAATATCCGTAGTTACTTTCGAGACTGCCTCGTAGGAAGAACCGATCTTCTTTGGTTGCATAGCTTGGACCAACTGGTCTACAACACTTTCTGGGATCACGCCAGCAATCTCCTCGACCATTCTCACAGTAATCACCTGTGAACTAACATCTGTCATCTGAGCATCTTCCCCTCCATCCTGTTTACCGCTGTTTCCGCTGGCTCCTACCAGCCTAGCTCCACTTTGCATATATGTGATTGCACGTCGCAAGTCACCATCGCTGCACTGAATCAGTTTGTCAACAACGCCATCCTCCAACTCCAGGTTCTCCAATTTCGCAATCTGTGCAAGTCTGTCGCCCGCAGCCGAGTTATCCAGCGGCTTGAAACGGAACTTGCTGCATCGACTGGCCAGTGGTTCAATAATTCGGGTAACGTAGTTACAAACAAGACAGAAACGTGTGATCTTGCTATAGGTTTCCATTGTGCGTCGAAGAGCAGATTGAGCATCCTGAGTCATGCTATCTGCTTCATCAAGGATAATGATCTTGAACGGTGGGCATGGGTATTTCTCGAAGTATGACTTGTCAACCCCTGTAGGGTGGCTGAGTTGTACTCTCGCAAAGCCCTTGACCTTCTCACGTACAATGCCAATACCACGTTCATCCGAAGCATTCAACTCAAGGATACGTGAACGATACAGAGCAGGTCCGAATAGGGACTTTGCGAGGGCGAGGATTGTCGATGTCTTTCCGGTACCGGGAGGTCCGTAGAAGAGCATATGAGGCAGCTGTTTTGGTTTCCAATCATGTTAATGGTCGACTTCGCTTGTCTCAGGTAGGGATTTAACACACGTTGGAGGCATGCAATGTCCGTTGGAGCACGTTTGTTGTATGGTCCTGGGCTGCGACATCATCTAGCGTCTTAGGACGGCTGAAAGAAATCGTTAACTAGATGCTTTTAGTAAGAACCACGGGAAATAGTACATACTATTTTTCAACCCATGGCTGTTGCTGTGCATGTTCCTCTTTTCCATCTGTCGGCTTCTGCTTCGAATTGCCTGATGCTGCTGCGGCCGCAGCACGGGCTTTATTGTTGAAAAAGTTGGTGGCCATGATATGCTACCCAGAGGCGAAGACCGAATTTGAAGGGGCTAAATCCAATTGTGCCAATTTGGTTGTTACCGATTATACCAGTCTCTCCCAGTAAAGCTCCCTGAAATGACGGCGGATGAACGTGTCGGAACGCGTCCCCACGTGATAAACGCGATTTATTGATGCCAAGACATTTATTGGTCTGACCAGACAATTTGGGTCTATGAAACATGAGAAGTAGACAACAACTCAAAGCTTCTTCCTAGCTTTCTTGAGGGCTGTCATCTCCAGCAAGAATAGAGAAATGGCTATGTTTCAATCACCGTCCTATACATGCAGCATTGTTGCTGTCGCAATCATTGATTATTCGTAAATTTTTAGCTACCTATAGCTCATCCTTCCTGTTTTCTAGTACTTCTGTAGCCTCATACATCCTCTTCTTCGTATTTCGAGGGAGCTCCGCTGGCCTCTGTTTTTCTTCTAGTGAAATGTCATCGATGTTGGTCTCATCAACCTCCTCTTCTTGTTCATTTTCTTCCGTTGGCTCCTCTTTAGATCCCACTTCATTGTCCTCAACCATGTTACCAATATGATCAATCATGCGGTCTTCTTTTGCCTCCGCAACTGGAGGTATGTCCCAGATAGCTTGGCCATCGGCGGTTTGAACATTCGCCTCGGTTTCAAGAGTTGGGACCACTGCCTCCTGGGCTAAGCTTGCGCTAGGAACAGCAGACGGAGAAGGTTGAACGGCTTTGCTGGATAGGCCAACCGCGCCCAAGATGGTGAATACGAACTTCGCTGCGAACCTTATCGGCAACCATACAAGCCACCACATGGGTCCGTATAATATCCGGCGAAACAGAAGCCATACAATGGTGCCGATTAGAATGTAGAACGCGGTTTCAAGATACCAGGTGTCAGACTTTTGCGAGCGAAGGAGCGAACCAACAAGGTTGCGTGACGATGATAGAAGGGTATCCAGGCTTGTGTAAGACTCTGAGAGCGATGAAAGCGCAGCAGTCGATTGCTCTGTAATATAATTAGTCAGAGCGAGAAATATCAGCAGAGGAGGAAACAGACCTAGTGTCTCTTGTGCGAATTGACTTCTAGATAACTCTGCCTGCATCAGATGATGCGTTCTCCGCAATGCCGCAGTAACATCACTTGACGAATTGAGCAAAACATCATCTTGTGTCAACTTCTCAGTCGACTCTCTCTTCCTTTCAGCGCTCTGTGATCTCGAAAATAGCGATTCCCTCTCTTTGCGCTTCGCGATCTCCGCATTCCGCTTCGCTTGTAACTGCGCATTTCGGAAGTCTCCTCTCGTTCTGGCATGAATCTATTAGCTTCATGTAGAAAAGGATAGCAGCCGTACATGTCGCACAGCACTGACAGTACGATATTGCCCACTCACCTTTTCAAGTCTTCCGCTAGTCTACCTGCCAACGCAACAACCCGTTCCCGCTCTAACTCCTTCTCGTTGTCCACACCTTTCCGTCTGCCTTCCGGGGCAGTTTCTAATGCTTCAACATCAACCTTCAAGACCTCCAAATGTACCTCTGCCTCTTTCAGCAGACTATGGATCTCGGTCCCTAATTCTAATCGAGCTTCGTCGCCCTGTCCAACGGCGGTCGTAAAGTTCCGCAATCGGGACACGAGAGGGTGGATCTGCGCCAGAGAGGTCGATAGCTCTTTTAGGCGAGCTTGAAGCGCGGATAAAGAAGACATTTTCAAGGTAGCATGCAGAGCGATGTTGTAATCATTCAGTAGTGTCGGATAAGGTTGATCTCACGAACCGAAAGGGAGTGTTCTAGCGGCCCAAATCTGCATATAATCGGATTTATTTGAGCCAGTCTTCTAGTGACCCTGCATTCACTACGGTAATCAAATAAAACGCAATTAAGCAACGGTTATGTTAGCAATAGACGACACTTCCATCAATACGGCCAATCTGGCTGCAGCGTCATCAGTCCAGGAACAATTGACTATATCCGAAAAAGAAGGCGGTGTTCAACTAGGAAGGCGGTCTATATGATCGCGCTGGTCAGAACTTGAGAATCCCGACCGTGGAAAAGGGCTTCGTCGCTGGTATAGTTCGATGATTATATCTCTACGAGTAATATACTTTATCGATCAAAAATTAACTCAAATAAAAGTCAGAACTATAGACATTGTAACATGATTTTTAAAAAAAAAAAAAATCAAAAGCAGTAATCTTTGGTTAGATACGACGTCTAAACTCTAAGCCATACAAAAGATACACAATTCAACAATGCAATTGATGGAGTGTTCAAATTATTCTGCCAGGTAAATCTTTAGTCAGAGACCGCTTGTTAAGACTAGATCATCCAATCAATGTTTGCATCTCCGTCAAACACTAAACATTCCTCCGCTTCCCGGTGTCTGGAGAAAGTCGAGGTAATTTTCTCGGGTCTGATATACAACCGCAAATACGCCGTCATTTCCCATCATTGACGTCGCAAAATCGAAGATATTTACAACATCGAGTTCCCTTGCTGCCAGAATTATACTCAGAAGCCAAAGTCGGGCGCAAACGTCAGTATCTAGCCAATCAATTATAGGACACCCGACTGATCTGATCCAACAGACCTCCAATTACCCAAGCTCTCCGACCTAACAAGATCGGGCCCAATTGTCCAAGATGACTATTCCTGTCCAGACGATCACCTCTCTCCGCACAAGCTTCAACCCATTCTCCAAGTCCGCCCGCCCATGCAGGCTTCTACTTTCTATCCTTCGCAATCCCAATACCGCATCGGCATCCAGCCCTACGCACATCGATATCAAGGTTAAGCAACTCCCCCGTGTCTCGACAGAACAGCCCGAGGTAACAGTGGCCTTCAAGGGAGGGAAGGAACTTAAAATCGAGGTCGGAAAGCGCCAGATGAAGATCGGCGATGTCATTGAGGAAATTGCGCGCGTGGGACGGGCTATCGAGCGAGAGGAGAGCTTGAAGGGTTAATCGAGTTTCTTGTACGCATATCCGTTATTATTATCGTGGTTGATTTTAGGTCCGCCTATGGCGCTTGGAGATCGGGACTTTTTGTACTTTTACGTTGCGGATGCGAAGCGGTTGAGTTACCGGGGAAGCTCATCGAAAGCATTATGATACCGTTACTTTGTGTATATACTACCTAGCCATTGAGGGATACCGCATTTATAGAAGTGCTTGTTTGCATTATGTAGCATCTTTATTTTGCGGAGTACATGGCGTGAGAGTCAAGTCTACGAACTATAAAACAACATCGCAAATACATCCGTTTGATGTTTAGCGGAGGTTGCATAGTAATACGGGCAAGACAAACAACGAAAAGAACGAGGAGATCAGGTAAAATTACGTGGACTCGCCCATGGGCTGAATCCAAAAATTGTGGGACTTTTATTTACTTTCGTTGGTATCAATTTACACAGCAGCACCAGAGATGAAGAACCACTTATCAACACTGCCATCAATAGGGGCAGGGGGGAGGTTCTCGCCCTTAGGGAGGTTGGCAACCTTGCCGGCGTCAGCACGGTCGGTGGAGTTCGCAACGGTGACGTTGGCGCTATAGAATCTGGTCAGCATGTCTAGCCTTCCCACGGTGGAGAATGTACACTTACGTGCTGATATCGCCCTTGGGAGACTTGCCAGTCATGAGCTTCTCCCAAGCATCAGCGCACTCACGGATAACATCGAGAGCGTACCTGATACGAGTATTAGACATCATACAAAAATTCAAATATGTGGGTCACTTAAACATACTTCTTGTTCTTGCACTCGCCGGAGAAAGCGAACTGGTTCTCGGGCTTGCCATCGGGGATCTTGTAGATACGGAACCACTCGTTGGTGGCGCGGAGGAGGCCAGGCAGGTGGCGCTCAACATCCTCAACGTCGTTAAGCTTAGGAGCCAGAGGGTCGTTGACGTCGATGACGATGACCTTCCAGTCGGTCTCTTCCTCGTCAAGCAGGGCCATCACACCAAGGACCTTGACCTGCTTGACCTGACCGGGGTAGCCGACAAGCTCACCGATCTCGCAGACATCGAGAGGGTCGTTGTCACCCTTAGCCTTGGTCTCAGGGTGGACAGTGTTGGGGTCCTCCCAGGTCTAAAGCAGACTGTTAGCAGGTAGAACCATGTGGCATCTTTAGCATTGCGAAACATACCTGAGGGAAGGCACCGTAGTTCCAGAGGTAACCCTTGTGGGGGAAGCAGTTACGGACGAAACGGAGCTTGCCCTTCTTGACATCCTGCTTGATGGGGTTGAGGAACTCCTCCTTGGAGATCTTCATACGTAATCAGCGCCCGTACTTTGCGATATTGAGTGTTTCTGCCCCATACCTCCTGCTTGGCGTTGGTCCAGCGGGGGATTTCAACGACCATGTTAAGGATAGTCTGCTCCTCGTTGGCGTAGAGAGGGATATCGTGGAAGGGAGAGACGGGCTGGCCATCCTTCTCAATGTAGACACGGTGAGCCAGGGTGTTGGCCTGGCCGATGTTGCGAACGGTGTAAGACATGGTGGGCGACTGCGGCGGGGTAGCGGACGAAGAAAAGTGTCGAGAAATTAAAGCAGCACGAGTTGTGGCGGACGAAGCCGAGGGAGCAACTCGAGGGGAAGGAGAGAAGGATGAAGGAGAGGAAGAAGAAGAAGAAGAGAGGAGAGAAGAGGGAGAGGAAGAGGAAGGAGGGGTGGCTTGTTTAGTGGGGGGAGCCAACGTTGCGGATGTGCGTGATACGCGGGCGACAATCGGAGAGGCGGTGGACAATCGGTTTAATGGAGCTGTGCGCAGTCTTGGAACGAGACTGGTGGATGACGATCCCAGGAACATTGGTTGCGGGAAAAGAAGGTGCAAGAACCCGTCTCTGTCGGCTCAATTGGAACTTTAAGTACCGGTGGTTCTGCTGTACAATTGCAGTTCTACGCTCGGCTTGTCTTGTGAAGATTTAAAAGGAGAGGGAAATTGTCGGGAAGAAATTCGGTGCCGGGAAGCCATTCCGAGGTTCGTTGCTATGTTGGTTGCCAAGAGGGTCACGATTATTCCACTATGTCCATGATCCTCACGATCTCTATACATCCATATGGTTTAGAGATTCTTCGATTTACGTTCAATCGCTGTTCTGGTGGACTCGCAACAATACTAGTAGTAGCCTATCGAGGTCAAATTCTCTTCTATAAAATCTTGATGTGGCAAAAGGGGGAGTTTGAAGAAGCCTGGTCAATTCCATTGTCAATGGCCGTCCCGGTGAATCAATCCTATGGATTTGCTCCACTATATTGGTCCCGCTCCCACTCTTGGTTGCTGGGTTGCCTCTGAGAGAGCCCAGGGCCGTCTCATTCAACAAATTCAGCCTCACTCGGTATGAACCTCCCATAATCGAATCCTACTCTTCGTCTCGCCCGGAGTGGGACCTCAGATCTAAAGAACAAAGAAATCGGAATTTAGGGTTTTTGGCGCAGGTGCCTGAGCGCCTGAAATGGCGCCATCAGCATGGTTGTCACGTGCATGGCTCCCTTCGTATTCTGCTTGTCAGACACTAGGATATGGTTGCCAATGCACTAGTGGGATTGGCTTCTCAATGGGAAGATTGGAGTCTCGCAGTTAATAGCTGGGAAATAGAAACGTTCGGGACAGATCACCAAGGTGTATATCAGTCCCTTCGACAAAGTAGACATGATTACTGTACTCCGCCCCTATTTACTTGGCAGGTACCGCCCGGTAATATGCAATACCCGTCACAATACCCGGGTAAATCAAGCAAAAAATCCAGACGAAAATTTTAACTTATCGCCTATCTCCACGTGATATAGACTTTTTCTCTCCGCCTTCCAAGGATAATGGACTACTACTCCATGACTAACTATACGAACGCCCACGAAGTCGATATCTTTGACCATCTGAGTCAATCACGACCAGAGAGATAACTCCACCACCATTCCCTTTTCCTTTGAAGTATGCTATGCTTAGATTTCTCCGCTCCGCAATGACTTCGCTCACTACACCAACTCCCGTGCCCATCCCCGCTAACGGGGTCGACTATCGTGGTAAAATAGTCCTTGCGCCGATGGTCCGGTCAGGAGAATTACCTTCTCGCCTTACAGCCCTTAAATATGGTGCAGACCTGGTCTGGGGTCCCGAAACGATTGATCGCGCAATCGTCGGCGCCACTCGCCGCGTGAACCCCCGCAACGGATGCATTGAATATACGAGGCTGCCCTCGAACGGTGGTCGCGCCGAAGCAGCATCACAGGAATCGGTTATTTACCGCCTCGATCCGGCGCGAGAGAAAGGGAAACTCATCTTCCAACTCGGTACAGCCACTCCCGAGCTCGCTGTGGAAGCCGCCAAGATGGTCGCTGGTGATGTTGCTGGTGTCGACGTGAACTCAGGATGTCCGAAACCATTCAGTACAAGTGGCGGTATGGGTGCGGCCTTATTACGGACACCCGATAAACTGGTTTCGATTCTGGAGGCGCTTGTCCGCGAGGTTGGAAACCCCTACCAAATCGGTATCTCCGTGAAGATCCGCATCCTTGAGAAGCCGGAGATTACGGAGGCGTTGGTCTCCAGGCTTGTCAAGACAGGCATTACGGGCCTGACAGTCCATTGTCGAACACCACCCATGCGTCCACGCGAAAGGGCAATCCGCGACCAGCTACGTATGATACGTGACATCTGCCACAACGCAGGCGTCGCATGCCTCATGAATGGCGATGTGACCTCCCGTGACCAGGCGTTGGCTTTGATGGAAGAATTTGGCGTCGATGGAGCAATGATTGCAACATCCGCCGAGACTAATCCTTCATGTTTCCAAAGCGAAGCAGATGGGGGTTTGCTTCCATTCAGAGACGTCGTTCACGCTTACCTAAAGTTCTGTATCGAGTCCGAGAATCGCTTCGGCAACACCAAATATCTACTAAATGTTATGATCCCGGGCAAGAACAAAGAGTTCAAGGACGCAAAGGGCTCCAAGAACTATGCCGATTTCTGCCACATCCTGAGGTTCGACGACCTCATGCCAGCTGCGCTCCAAGTCGATGAGATCCTAAACCTCAAGGGAAAATCCGCTTTCTACAAGGAAGAGATACGCAACAAGGCTGTCCAGAACGCCATTGAGAACAACGAAACCGCTCGAGCAGCCGGTGGTGCTTTAAGGCCGAAATCCGCGTCCCCTGCTACCAGCGGTTTGGGACCGATTCGTACTAACTCCATCCCTGCCCCTACGAAATCGAAGCCTGAGAACAACGAGGCCAATCTCGAAATCCCTGAAACAGCTTCTCAGTCATCCCAGAAACAGGAAGTCGCCGCATGAGCTCGGGAATAGGCTCTTCTATCGACTATACAGTCCCATAATCATTGAAAGTCCCTGCTATTGTTTCTCTTTCCTGTTCTTATTTGCGCCTCCCTTTTTCCACGTTTGTTGTCTTGATCGCATTATATGGTGTTGAGTTCTCGGATTATTCTTTGGTGTTCATAGTTATAGATTCCCTCGGTGTGGTAAAATCCGGTCGGTTGAAGACTTCTGAATTTCAACGGTACATACACGAATATATCAAAATCATGGATCTCATCATACTAGTCTGATATATCAAATTTCCCACCCCTACCATTCCCTAGTCAATCGTATCGTACATGTCTGACATAAATGGCATTGCCAACGAGGTAATTGAATTGATCAATCATTCTCTTTGCTCTATTAGTTCTGATGATGTGATGATTTCTAAAACAACCAGTTCATACTCCATCTCTATAAGCAGAAAAAAAGCATCAGAAAAACGAAAAGATAATAAAAGAGGCTGTTGAGTCACAACGGCCAACACAGTCCCAAGACGTTGCTAACTCCACTGTGACACGACAAATGCGTCCAAACAAGATCAGATGCAACCAAGATATTGAGTGCGAACCGTAACAGGTAAAAGCACGGCCATCATCACACTCAAAAAGACAAGTTGTATGCCATGACGATGTGCAGATAAGTGAAATCGCTAATACAACGGCGATGCAGACAGAGGTTTAGCAAAAAGTACAGTAGAGCATGATAAAGCAGGAAAGGGAAATAAACGGAATACAACCACTATAGGCTCTGTAGTCTTTGCGAGGTTTGTTGCACGGCCCCAAACGTCTTCGAATACGTCTTCGAATGGTTGCGGCTTTCGGAAATATAGTTAATGCTAGGAGGTATGAAATCTTCAAGGATACGTTCTCATGAGGAGTTCTGTTTCTCTCCACCTGAGCCAGCAATGAGCATATCCTCTACCGCTTTCATGCCTGCTTCTTCACTCTTCTTCAACTCGGCGGCATCTTCGCCTGCTACAGCTTGATCGAGAGCTAGTTTCGTCTGTCCCAATGCGTAGATCTGTTCTTCGATTGTGTCCTTGGTCACAAGTCGGATGACTTCCACTTCGCGCGTTTGGCCCACACGATGGGCGCGGTTCTCGGCTTGTACATCTTCCTGAGGGTTGAAGCTCGAGTCGAAGATCACCACTTTGTTGGCACAGGCCAAGTTGATACCTGCGCCACCGGCTTTTGTGGAGAGGAGAAACACCGGAATCTCTGTCCGTTCATGGAAAGCATCGAGAATGGACTGGCGATCCTCGACGTTCGTACGGCCATCAAGTCTAACGAAACCAAGATGCTGGTTTTCAAGAACGTGTTCGAGGATATCCATCACCATAGTGAATTGGGAGAAAATCAGAGTGCGATCACCGTTTTCTTTGAATCGCTTCAGCAGTTCACAAAGTTTATCGATTTTACCCGAGTCCATCCATTCATTGTTTTTCAGTGCAAACTTCCCAAGCGATTTGGGGTAGTTCACGCACATAGTGTGGCATTCGAAGTCATTATATGCCTGTAGCTCTTCATAGATGATGTCCGGGTTTGACAGGGACCACTGCTCTTCTTTGAGGCAAGCTTTCGCCATGCGGCTCAATGTAGTGTCATTATAGTGACGCCTATATAGCAATGGATGGATAGCTGCCTGTCGTAGCTTCATCAGGATATTTGCAGACTTGTTGCCTGTCTTCTTTCCAGCTGCTCGGTCGGCTAACAGCTGACGGACCTCTTCTTGCTCATGTTCGTAAATTTCCCTCTGGGACTCATTTAATTCACAATATTCAACTTTAGAAACCTTGGGGGGCAGATCAATGACCTGGTGCTTCTTGCGTCGCAGTACAAAAGGCTTAAGCATTGATTTTGCTCTTTCGATGCGCTGTGCAGAAAGCAACGCAGAGTGGGATTCATCCACGGTCTTCGCCTTGTTTGCAAAGATATTCTGAAGCTCTTCCTTGCGCTCCTGGAAAACCTTCGGGAGAATAAAGCCTAGAAGAGAGGCAAGTTCTTGGAGATTGTTTTGGAGTGGTGTACCTGTTAAAAGAAGCCTAAAGCGAGCCCGGATTCTGATCAATTTCTCATAGAGAACAGACGTAGAACTCTTGAGCATATGTCCCTCGTCATACACACAAACAGTGAAGTCCATGTTGCGTAGGAAGTGTGCATCAACCTTGGCTTTGGCAATGGTATATGTAGTGACAATAACGTTGATGCTGTCCCTGTTGTCCTCGATCGTTTCTCGAATCACTGCGCGCTCAGCCTGGCCAGCGTAGTATGGCATAACGGAGAGGGTTGGGCAGAACTTTTGGAACTCTCTAAGCCAGTTTTCGATTGTGGACGAAGGCACGACGATGAGGTGCGGCCCCTTGATGCCCTTCTCATACAGATGGGCCAAAAATGCAATGACCTGGCAAGTCTTCCCAAGACCCATATCGTCCGCAAGGATGCAGCTCAATTCTTTCTCGAAGAGCAACGACAACCAATTAATTCCGACGATTTGATAATCCTTCATCTTCAAGTCTTCGCGCATAATACCAGGCTGGGATATGAATCGGCTTTTACGGGAGCCAGTCGCAGGGCCATCACTATCATCATCTGAACGCTGACTGGCAGGAGTACCGATGCCAGAGTCATGCGATGCCCCGGGGTCGATCGATGTCAGCTCCAATTCCCCATCACGCTTTCCAAAGATATCGACACCCCATTTTTTCATTTCCGATGCAATCGGCTTTCCAAGCGCCTCACATTTTGCGACCAACGAATCAACAGCTTCGTACCCAACCCACATATCCATGCATTTGTCCACAATTTTATCACCAATGGGCTTGGGCGTTTTACGCCCACGACTACCCTTTGGCTTCGCGGTTTGCTCCGTCGTAGGCGCAGTGACGGCACGTACTTCGTCCAGAGATGCAAAAGGTCGGTTGGAAATTATGACCTTCGCAACTTCTTCGGTGATTGCGGCAATGTCTGCAAGGTCAAGGACATTGCATGTATTGAAGAACCTGAGAACCTTGGTTTCCAATGCACTCTCACCCTCCGGGAAAGCTTCTACACCAGAATCTGAGTCATCGGACATGGATGCCTCCGGCTCTGAAGGTTCGGGCGATGGCTGCTTGCGCCCTTGAATAAGTCTGCCGGGGTTCTTTTTTGGAGGAGACTCGGAGCGATCTGGGCTCGGGGAAGACACACGGGTCTTTGGGCCTCTGATTAAGCGTCTCCTTGGTTTGGATTCCTCGTCGGATGGTTGCGCAGGTGCCTTCGGGGTGTTGCGATTCTCCAGGCGCATCGCGGCCCATTTATTCTGAATGGTTCCTCGAGCTTTAATCTGCTGCTTTGCCGGCGCAACGGGAGAGGCTCTTTTATTCAAAGCCAATTCATCGTCCGACAAGTCGGCTCTTCCATCTGCTTCACCTTCAACCATGCTAGCCAGATAATCCAAAGCATCGTCGTAATTCCCACGCTTCGCTAAAAGAGCTTGCATGCAAACTTTAACGGATTTTTGTGGTATCACTCTTTGCATCTTCTCTACCTTGGCCCTCATCTGATAGTCTTCAATATCCTGTAAAGACGATATATCCAGCTCCACAGGCTGCGCGCGGGACGGCCCATCTTGCCGAAGTTTCTTGACCGCAGTCCCTTTTGGTACAGGGTCCATTTGAGCTGCAGGGCGTTTTGCGCTCGATGGATTATAGACGGCGGACGCGGTAATCTCTTTGAATCGGTCGAGAGAAGAATTAGTTGCACCTCCCGGTGAGTCCAAAACCTTTTCGGGGTTCCGCGAAGATTTGGCAAACAAGGACGGCTTGATGTCAGTGCTGCTTGTCATTTGAATGTCATCGTCGTCCGAAGACCCTCCACGGTACGTTGGGCCGTCATCCTCAAGATCTATTACCGGCGCACGCTTCGCAGGGCCTACCGCAGGGGGCCGGAACTGGGTACCGCTGGGCGCCATTGCGCTGGCAAAGCGACCGCCGGACAAGGCAGGACGAGAAGGAGACGATGTAGGACCGGGCGGGGAAGACGCAGCAACTTGAATGACTGAATTGCCCTTCGCAGAATAGGGCGGTTCTATAATCTGTGTTGGTTGTGTTAGACGTTGGGTCGCCGGGGTCAGGGACTGGGTTCCAGGCTGTTGAAAGTTTGGCAGCGGAACAGTGGCGACAGTCTCATACCCGTCGTCTTCTCTCCTGGGCGGCGTATTGTGAATGACTTCTTTGTCGCTAACCGGGGTATCAGGAACTGAATCGTCCATGGTTAGTAAGTCTTGTCCGATATTGGTGAATTAAGTTGAGGCCCGGCCACTGCGGCAGGAAGGCAGCTTCGCTCAGACGACCGAGAGAAAGTTCCTTCTTTTCCCCAACCTGAACTTTTGCTCAAATTAAGTTAAAGGGCTTTTTTTCTCCGCAAAAAACGCGCTCAGACGCGCCCGCGGTCACGTGAATTGGCGCTTCAATTAAAGACCGAGCAGGAAATCCAGCGACATCTCCAAAAGATATCCATGGAGCAGAGTAAGGAATTCCATGAAGACAAAAGTCACTTACCATACACTGTGCCTCTTTCCACCTGTATCGAAAGTGGTGCGTAGGATCCCTCAGTGTTGAAAGAATAATGGAGCTTTTTGACTATCGGAGGCTTTCAATGGCCACGGACCAATGAGATATGCGCATGCAATGACCTCACCTGAATTACGTCGCCTGGATTGAGTAAATCAATGATTCAATAAACACTTCTTCTTTAGTCTTTGGACACGGAGAACCGTCCATAAGTATAATCATCAGGCTCAGAAATCAATTTAGCCTCAATTGGATTAGCTTTCTACGTGCAGTTGAACTCCTCCCTTCTCTCCCAGCCCCCCCCAAAGGGTATCATCATATCTGTTCGGTCCACGCACTTAGTATCAACACCCTTTGCTATCCAAAATGGCCACCCGTCGTCCTCAGGGTAAATCATACGCAGAAGCGGTCGCTTCTCCTGCACCGGAGAAAATATCCGATTCCGATGTTACGCCTGCAGTTCCCACGTAAGAGTTTTCTCCGTCTGATTTCCATCCCCAATCTGCATTCATGCCACATAGCCGATGCGCCGCGGCGAGCCCAATAGACATGTAGTGTCTTCTGCGAACCAAGCCATGCCGCTCAGAGTGCCCCACCGACGAATTGTCACGGATACTAATAGTTCGTTACAGAAATGTCATCTTCAAACTGCTAGGGTTTTCCGCAGCCATGGTCTCATTGCCCATTGGCATGTACTTTGTCGCAGTGAAGTTTGGCGGTATGCTCCTTTTGTCTCCTGGTCTTTTTGTTTACTTCTTTCTTCCATGACTTCCATGTACCCTTGAGGTATAAGTTCTAACATCAGGTAGCGAGTCCAACCGTCGCTGGCATTATTGCGGCCGTTACGGCCAATATCGTCTTGTTTGCGTATGTCTTTGTTGCATGGCAGGATGATCGCCTGGAGAGAGAAGCCTTAACGAAGAAGAAAGAAAAGAAGGCGCAATAAGGGGCTTGTGGCCTCTAGCAGGATTATCAATCGGTTTACACGTTTGCGTTGTTGATCTTTGTACTTAATATGCGGCGTTCGCGGACGGCTGTGTTGTAATTCTACTTTGGCTTGGCCCAAGGATGATAGCTCATGTGGACTGTAGGAATATCAGTTGAATATGTGAGATTCTTATATCATAACTAGATCCACGTAGGTAAAACACGCCTACAGGGGTGCCGCGGGCCGTTAAGTAGTCCCGTTTCGGACCCTTGTGGGAGACGATAGTTCCAGTATTACAACCAGCCCATGTTGAAGAAGCCGCGCCTGGAAATGCACTGACAGACTGTATATAAACAAGTTGAACCCGAGCAGAAGAAGAGAGACAAGTAAAGAAAAAAAAAGAAACAGAGGATTACGTTAAGATTCAGGGATTTATGGCCTCCTCTTCACAAACTCCTCCAGATCACTCTTCGTTACCACTCCGAGCACGAATTTCCGCGATGCATCTGTTACCACGGCAAACTGTTGTTTCTCTCGCTTCTCGCCATTGGGACCGGTTTCACTCTCAAAGAATTGCTCCAATTCCTCCAAGGGAGTCTCCATTGTGATTACCTGGTACAAGCCCCGCTTCCGGTTAAACCGCTGCATGGCGGCAGACACGGAGTCTGATTCTTTGATAGCTCCTTCTTTCAAAAGTTGCTTGAGGCGGGGAATGCTGAGGTAGCCAAGTAGGGATCGTTTCGTAGAAGAGGTGACGGTTAAATGAGTGAAATCACGTTCGTAGGCTGCGAGCATGGCGGAGGAGACTAAATCGCTAGGGGAGACTGACAGTGCCGGAGGGGGGTCCAGATCTTCGACTGTAGCCTAGAATTCTTTTGTCAGTAAATAGGGAATAACAATGGGTCTATGCAGTTAGGCGTGAAGTGCCAACATAGAGTGGTAACTAACCCCTCGGTACTTGTCTGCCCACAATGACGGGGAAGTGGGCTGTTCCACGGTGGAAGAGAGCTTTTCGCGGGCAAATGCCTCGCTGCCGGTCGAATAGGAAGCCATATCCACGGAGTGATTCACAGGAGGGGCAGCAAAGCGATTAGGAGGGGTACGAAGAGGGGCCAACTATGGTGTCCAATTGGTGATAGGGACGGCTTCAAATCGAGACAGGAAGGCGCACAGGGTAAACTCGGAGAAACACGGCCGTGCAGACACTAAGGGCAAAGGATATGGGGTAAAGAAACCGGATTGCGTTGACAATATCGCAGGTGAGGTCTGTTCCAATGGATGATAAATTTATCGATTGCGGCCCACGAGCCTTAGTCTCCGTCCTCTAAGCCGATCGGGTTTGGCGCCAACCACACCTACCTCGTAATGGGTGTCACGATACCATTCGACGTCATTGCCGGTCGCTGCCGCAGTGTCAGATTCTCTCCCCTTTGGGGTTGTTCGGGTCCTGCTTCGGACTGAGTCACATTTGGTTTATTATTTAAACTGACATACTGCCCCTTTGGTATCTCTAAGGGGAAGAAAAGGCCAGTAGTTCGAGCGACTCGTGTTCCAACTGCTTTGTACTAATTGAGATACCAGCTGCCCTAGAAGTGGGGACGATCTTCTTTATAGATATACAACCACCAGTATGTACGGTTTGGCCCTGTGGAGACCTCCCAACCTACAATAAACCCAATATTTTAACACGATTCAACTAGAGAATTTCTCGCGAAAATGTTTCCTTCTAAAGATATCATCAGTAGCACGTTTTCCTCACAGCACCCTCTAAACCAACCCGGAAAGCAGTCGCAACTTTCGAGAGCTCCAGGAACAAAAAGGCGGGAGGCGTTTCCAGCATGGAGTGTGGTTGATGATACCAAAAGAAAGGCAGATGCTTTTGCAAAGGAGGCGTCACGCGAATTCAATATTGCAAGCCAAAAGGCCCAGGCCAAGACCGGCAAGATTGAACCGTGGACTCCTAAATATTACGCAGCCTGTACAGTCGGCGGGCTTCTTGCTTGCGTAGGTTTTCCCCTGTAAAATGATAGTCGCTTTACTCACTGTTCCAATCTTCTGACTGCGGATAGGGCCTTACCCACACTGCTGTGACGCCACTGGATCTCATCAAGTGTCGACGCCAAGTTGACCCCCAGCTTTACAAAAGTAACCTAGAGGCTTTTCGTACTATTCGCGCCGCAGAGGGCTTCAGAGGCGTCTTTACTGGTTGGGGGCCTACCTTCTTTGGATACAGCGTACGCTGGTGATGCATGACTAACATTCAATATACGGAGCTGACTAACAGAACGAAGGCCCAAGGAGCATTCAAGTACGGTGGCTATGAGTTTTTCAAGAAGTTCTACAGCGACCTTGTTGGAGTAGAGAACGCAAATCGCTGGAAGACGTCCCTGTATCTCACAGCCAGTGCATCTGCAGAGATCATTGCTGATGTAGCACTCTGTCCTTTCGAGGCCGTCAAGGTGCGTATGCAGACAACAATCCCACCTGATATCCGATCGACTTTCACAGGGATTTCCAACGTCGTTTCGAAGGAAGGGGTGGCTGGGTAAGCACTCAATTATACATGATAGATGCAGCTGGACCGCACTGACTTCGAATAGACTTTACAAGGGTCTATATCCGCTGTGGGGTCGGCAGATTCCGTACACCATGATGAAGTTTGCTTCATTCGAGACCATCGTGGAGATGATCTACAACTACCTACCGGGTCAGAAGTCTGATTACAATAAAGGCGCACAGACTGGGGTGGCTTTCACTGGTGGCTACTTGGCTGGTATTCTATGCGCTGTTGTATCCCATCCCGCTGATGTGATGGTGAGTAAGTTGAACGCAAACAGACAGCCTGGCGAAGCCTTTGGTGCCGCTATGGGCCGGATCTACAAGGAAATTGGCTTCGCTGGCCTGTGGAATGGTCTTCCCGTCAGAATTGTCATGATCGGAACTCTGGTAAGTCTACAACAGACCTTGTTGAGACATCCGCTAACCAAAGGGATTCGTAGACCGGTTTGCAGTGGATGATGTATGTATCTCTTGCCGCTCCATCTGCACGATTATGGGAATTGACTACTAACACTTGCTAGTTACGATTCTTTCAAGATCTTCATGGGTCTTCCCACCACCGGTGGAGGACCTACCGTCGAACAGAAGAAGTAGAAGCGATATTTGTTATTGTAGGAATGTAGCGAGGGAGACTGTCTTGCTGGTGATTTCTAGCTGCGTCGTGCGCATGAATATGAATATTTACTAAATAGTATTCCAAAATCACCTGCCAAGGCCGCGCCTTATCCACGGGATGAGTTATCAACGATCGTTAGTCACGAACTGGACCAATGGGTTGCATCGCAGCTTCGTTATCTTATCATTTATCTGCCCAATTGATGGGCTCGCACCGACGTCACCGAGTTAGTATATGTCGATTGTAAGCCTGATCCCTGATAAACCCCGGGTTCAATAAACCTTTAGGGAATCCTTCGGGACTTTCAGGGCCCAGTCCATCTCCTGAGTCTGAGGAACCACATCAAACCCTCTCATAGCTTTTCGTTCCTAAACTTTACCTTTGAGTTTACTTCCCATCCATTTTGGAATCCTTCTGGAAAGCGCCGACTGCCCACCGGCGCATAGATATAAGTACTGAGCCCCTGGCCCGACTTTCGCGCGCAAGCGACCTCTCTCAAAACATCAAGGATTCTGTCCCAGCTCCAGACGCGGCGCATACCGGCCTACTCAGCACTATCAACCAGACCCATATCACTCCTACTACCATGGGCGAACACGAACCCATCGTATCGCACGGCCGCGGAGGTGCGCTCCCTTCTTGAATACATTCTCAAGCTCATACCCCTCTCACCCAACTGGTTCTAACATACCATCTCCTACCTCAGGCCAAGGCAATATCGGCGCCGACTCCACCCAGTGCGCACCCCAATATCCTTCACCCTCCACACATCTCCCGTCTAACAAATACACCACAGATACGTCGATGGCGGTATAGTCCGTGAGGGCGCCTACGGAGACCAAGGCGACGGCGCATACTCCGCCGGCGTGAGTACATACCTCCCCACCCAACCCTAAACCAAATAGACCACCATAGATCACTGACCTCTAGACTGCAATAGCGTGGCGGCGCAGGCAACATCGGCTCTCCCCACGTACGTCCCACGACGGGAACGCCTCACGACACGGAAATCATTCCCGAGCTGGCGATTCGCAATTCAACCGACGGCGATTATCACATCGGCGTATGTTCATTCTTTAACCCCCCCCACCCCCCGGGGCCCTTTCCTTGCGTACATGAGAGCTATGTTCTAATAATGTCAGCGCGGCGGACAAGGAAATGTCCATCTTGACGAGGCGCATAAGAAGAGGGATGAGGAGAAGAAACAGCAGAAGGCGCTGGCGCATGATGGGTGGGCGGACAGGTTGAAGTATAAGCTTTTTGGGAAGAGATAATCTTCCTCCCATCCCCCTTCTTCTTCGTCCTGCTTTTGGTGCAGGATGGGGTTTCGCAAGGTGATAGTGTGGTTTGTGTGCGTTTATGTTTAATCTTGATTCCCATGTCATGTGATTTTGTTGATGGTTGTCTGTATCTGAGAATTGTTTTAGTCCTTATTTGTTGTTGAGTTTTATATATATCTTAATGTCCAGTTCTAGATGTTGTCGAATATAGCGAGAAGCCATAGAAGTCTCAATAAGATGTGATTGCTGCCGCTCTAAATCCTCTTTGCATCAAGTAAATTACCGATGTGATCTCTCACATTTGCATATTGATCAACAGGGCCGCGTCTGGAACCAGGAGCTAGATTCAAGACATACAGCACTGATCCTCATTTCATAATAACAATAAATTCGCCCATATCACTGAACATCGAATGAATGACCCTTTTTGACAAGTACTATCTCATGAAACTAATCGATAAATCCACCATTATATCGTAATCTCGTAACATCCATCAACTGCGTGCCTGAAGATAAAAACAGCAAAAAAAACACGCATAATAACAAGCTAGAAGCTAATTAAAAACAGAGAAAATATAACAATAAAACAAATACACATAAGTTCCTGTACTGTCCCATTCCGTAGATCCCATTGCTGTAAGTCGAGAAGAAAACGCCAAATGAGTTATTACATCCGTTATGTGAGGTGAGAAAACACGCATTGAACGACAAATGTTTGGGTCGGGTAAAAGGGGGGGAGGGTAAAAGTGGAGGAGATGAATGGACTAGTCCTTGCTGAACCTTCGCTTAAACCAACTTTTTCGCTTCGTATCGCTCGCATCAGAGGCGTTCGTCGCTTTGCGAAGATGGCGACGGGTGGTGGGCGCACCTGCGGCTGAGGCTGGTCCACCCACGGGGCCTCCAGCGTTGGGATCGGCGACTGGAGCGGAATTCCCAAGCTTAATTGGTCCAGTTCCAGCGGCGCCAGAGGCTAACGCACCGCCATTATTGAGATTCGGTTCAGGGCCGAATCCTGCGAACCCATACCTTTCTGCGACTGCTCTCTCCTGCTGCTGTTGCTGGAGCAGCTGTTGTTGTTGTTGTTGCAGCTGGTCGATTGAGCTGTTCACAGAGCTTGGATCGGTGGAATTGTTGGCCCAAGGATCGGTATTGCTCCCCGACCCAGACGCTGCCGTCACGTTTTCGTAAGATTTATGGTAGCCATTAGACCCATAACCATTTTGTGCGCCATGGTACTCGGGCTCCATACGGTGCCGACGTGGTCGCCTTCCGCCGCCTTGATTGTATGGGTAGTGATTCTCAGGGGGCCCGCCACCATAGTTGCTCTCCATATAACTTTCCGGTCGGGAATATGTTCCACGTCCATTGTAGTGACCATTTTGGTCGTTGTAGCCTCTGTGATGACCGTTGTGTCCTGTAGTCGTATTACCAAGTCAGTAACGGAGATAAAACAAGGGTGTGGTGGATGTTATGTGACGCACCACCGAAGTAGCTGCTGCGTCTACTATATTCTGCTCCAGGGGTGGATTCATGGTCTAGCCCTCAATTAGCATCCTACAACAAATATTTTCCTGAGGTCGAACGCACCTGTTCTAGCATATGATACCGGTCTGCTATTGTACGATCCATAGATGGCGGCTTCAAAAGAACGAATTGTATCTAGCGGACGTTCAAGTCGAGAACGGGTGGGATTGGAGAGATCGGGGTCGGCTATTCAACCAAAACAGACAATTAGTTCATCGTTCTCCCATAGCGAGGCACCGATTATTTAAGAAAATCGTAAACGAACTTATGATATTCCCGTACTGATCTTTGTGCTGCATCTCCCTTAAAGAGCCGATGGTGGACTTTTCCAAAGCAACCAACACTAAATATGACCTGTCAGCTCAGAAACATGTGCCAAAGCGATCGGAGAAAAAAAAATGTCAACAGGGCGGGGTTTGAGAGAAACAAAAATGAGAACAGGATCAATGAGAACCCAAAGGAGAAGAGACAAAGTCGAAGCATGGGAGTTAAATTTGGTAACATACTTGGTTGCGCCTCGCTCATAGCAACCATGGGGTCGGCTTTGGTATGTAAAGTACGTTTATGTTTCTCCTCAGCAGTTTCGGTGAGACGGATTTTATTGCTGCCAGAATTGCTGGAATTGTCTGACCTGCCACCAAAACTGAAACCCCGACTGTGTCTCGGAGGCGCGGGCTGTTGGGGGGACGCCATTTTTAATACTCCCCGTCGTCCTTAGCGCCTGATGACTACCCTGGAACTTGTTTCGTAGCGATCTATCTGCACTATAGCGGCCGTTGTGGAGCGCAACAGCAAGCGGAGTGGAAACCGCCAAGGAATGTATGATTCAATTGTAGCAGACAGCGAGTGTCTCAGGCGCTTGGTTTCGACGAATCCTTGACAAGGCAGCCAACGAAACGAGCGTGTGCAGGCGTGTGGGGGGGGAATTTTGGATCCTATCCCTAACCTGGCGTCTAGTTTGGCCCTTCTGGAATGGGATATTTATACCCCGCGAGTCCAGAAAGTTGAGTGCACCAATTGGTTTGTCCCAGTTTACCGTCCCAAGAAAAAGAAAAGCAATGCTCAGTTGTTGCTGTTGTCGTCACAACAGAAGGCGTGATGCGACAGGCACAGGTTGTCAAATAAAATCTATCAGACGATCGGCACTGGATCCTGCAAGATTAGTGTCAGACCAGAGAGCAGGCAACCGATGGGATGGTTTGGAGGGAGAACGGACAATGAGCGATCGACAATGGTAGCGACGGTGAGAAGTATGGCTATGTGGAAGACAGTGGCCGTGTATATGGTCGGCAAACGAAAGTCGGCAGGAAGAGATAAGAAGAAGAGAAAGAAAACAATGAGGTTTGAGGTTCACTTTCAATTAAGATTCACCACGAGGACTGTCGAGACCTTTTTGACTTAACCCAGATTTGGGGTTGACGACAGGCGCCACGCAATAAGAGGGGAAAGGCAAGTCTTCTGTATGGACGACCGGTTGGAACGTCTCCTATCAGCGTATTCGTTCCAGCCTGTTCTGCCGTAGTTTGGTTTTGGGTCGGACGATGGCGTTAGTCAAGTCTAAGCGGACTGGGCAGAAGTTTCCATCGGGGTTCCCATGGCATGTCTATTCTTAGATGTATATCAAGTAGATCTATACAGCTTATGTGCAGTTAAGCTGATGACCATGACCGGGTTGACCATGCTCCTGGTGTTTTTATTCTGTCGAAGCATCTTCCAATCCTTATTTACGCTGAAGAATATCATCTAAGAACTCGTTTTCTGGGTGAATCATTAGACTTTCAGGTTCGAGAAAGCAGTATTTCTTTGATTCTTATTTGTTTGGTACCTCGTGACAGACACTAACCGATTGGACCGCGGGTAAGAAATTTACCTTGAGAGCAGCCTAGGAAAATAAAATAAAATACAATTTGGGAAAGGAAAGTAAAAAGATGAAGACTAATCAATTAAATTTCTAAGAATAAAACCCTGCATTAAGAAGAAAAAAAATCCAGAATCAAAACCAAAGAATGGGAGGAAGAGCAAGTCCAATAGCAAACAAGAGTCACAGTGTGTGCGTTACGCAAGTTCTCCTCGCTGGACTCCAGAGGGACCAATCAATAAGAACGTCGACCAGCCACCCAAACCCTCCAACAATCGTTTTCTTTCGGCTCCAGATGTGTCAGGAACCAACCTGGGGGGCTGAGGTGATACGATAAGGTTGCAAGACTGTGTTGTCAAACCCACTGATCGTCCTGATCTTCTTTCTTGCGTAATGAATCAACAAACAGGGTGGGATCAATCAGAAGATTTTCATTGCCTCATTGCCTCCGGTGACAGCGCTACATCACCGTTACTCAATCCAACCTCCCGCCTCTCTTGTAAAACTAATTTTTTCACTTAATTGGAATCCAACCGATGTCTCAGTAAGGTGGTATTTATATTACATACAAGGCCGGTATTGAAATCGTTGAAGCAAAAATAAGTCACATTGATTTAGCGCTATACACTAACTGACCTTTTCGCCCATCCGCCATCATCCCATTGGTCACGAGTGCAACTAAATCCTGATGTCTTGATATCACGTCCAATTGACAAGTCGGAGGACCTGCCGAGTCTTCAAGTTATTCACAGGCAGTCAGCAACCTCACCTTTGTTTTATGCCTGCGGAGACTGCACTACTACTAGTAGTACTAGTAGTTAGATATATATAAATTGTACCACATGACATTTTTCTTTCCCCGTGTCTTTTTCCTAGGTAACGCTTGCCTTTATGGACTCCCTGTATAACTATAAGAAATGATACCTACAACCCCCAGGTTTATGTCAGATTATGCATAATTGTTGCTATCGAGAAAAAAGTCTTAAGAGGGCGCCAATGAAGGGATCCATGACGATCTTCAAATTACATTATGCAGTGGGTCAACGCAGTGGGGGATGGCGCCTACTTTAATTCTGATTAACTCGGATCGAAGAGAATTCACCCCATGCAAGAAGGCTAGATTTTAGGATTCCAGGCTCGCATAGCGCTCTCGCCGCAAAACTGGGGATAGTCTTAGGGTTTGTCTAATATTTCTCCCTAGTTGGAATATCTCAAGGTTCTCTAGGACATAATGGATATGATTCTCATTTACCCATGGAAGTAGAACCAGGTCAAAAAATATTGAATTATTCGGTGTCAAAGCTAAGGCGATCGAGTTGAATAGTGCTAACATGCCAGTTGTTACGGTAGAGACATGAATCTAGTTTCATCATTTTGCGATGACATTAAAGATAACTTGGCAGCAAGCTATAAATATATTAGATTGTGTCCTCGCCGGGAATGAACACTCCATACTAGACAGCTGGGGTGCCCGCTTGGGCAATACGTCACCCTAAATAATACCTGAAACGCATGTATTGATTAGGGCTTCACTTCACTTTAACATACGCGGTCAACTTAGATTTAATCAAGTCTGTGAAACACTGTTCAGCAGTATCCTCACCTCTTGCTGGTTCCCCTATGCCTTCCCTGTTCCATAGTCAACCTGGATTGGATTGCCTACTGCCGCAACCTCTGATAATCTCTTCACACCCAAACCTCCAACTGGAATGGCAGGAGAGTCGACGATTTCCCACCATCCAACGTGCTCTGCAGTATGCTCACAACAAGATAGGCAATGACCAATGTGCTCAAGTATACTGGCACTGTGATCCGCACCCTTCAGACCCCGACCTATAATCGGTATACTCCATGCCATACTATTAGACCCCAGTCATGCCCTTCGCACATATCCAATGACCTCTGCAGTTGCATGTCCAGACTCAATAACACTGCCATCAACCTTCTCTAAGCGAGAGTTGAAGGGCGTCAGTTCCAGACAAGTCCATGGTATGTGCCCATTTATGACTGTTCCAGTCTGTTGCTCTTCATGTAGCACAGTATACCTACAGAATCAGACAAGACGGGAGATCTAGGCACAGCACATATTATCTGAAGAAATACTGGTGTAACGGAGTGACCTGATGGCCTCTATTACTGTGTCACAATTAATGGTCCCATAGTAGGTACAGGGCTAGACCAACCTCTATTGGATGTATTTGGCCGAATCGGTTGGTGTTGTAAGGCAGATGTTTGTCTAGGTTCATGGGTCACGCAGGATACCAATGAAGAATGGTATATGCTAGAGCTTCAGTTCCCTCGGAAGTATATAAGGTGTACTGTACTTGGACGAGTAGCGTGCTAGATACAAGTGTGCGCCCTGCTAATATATTTATTAGTGTGTGTTCTGGAGATCATACTTGTAGTGCTGCTCTTATAATTTATGAGCTGAGGTGGTTCATGTAGAATAGAATGTTGTGTACTGCACAAAGTATGTTCCAGAACAGAGCCACGCATCCGACGACATATCATTGCACGGTGGGCGGAAATATTTTCCTGCCCCAGGTGATGCCTACGGGATATGTATACTAGCAACCCAGAGCTGAACAGAAGTCAGGGCAACTGCCCACACGTCATATACCAATTGTATACGCAGCAGGACATAGTTGGAGTGACGTAAACTAAACCGTCCACAATCAATGTATGGCTCCTGCATATCAAGGTTTGAATTACAAAATGTTCTAGTGTATGGATACAGCAACAAACCCCGGGGTTTAAAGATCAGGTTATAGCCATCAACGTCATGAGATTTGAGCCAATGTCGCATAAGGGCTCGACTAGACTGGGCTTCACTTTCAACATCGCGAGCACGGGAAATTTCTATTTGTTGCAAGTGGTTGCGGTTTGCCCATCTCGTCCTCGTTGTCCAACCTAGACTTTTATTCGAACAGGGCCCGCCTAACGTCCGAATGCGAAATTGAATCATCATGCTGAAATGGTATATTGATTGGTGTGATGTGCGCCGAGTGGTGAAGCCATGGTGTCAGAGAAGACACATGATGCTCGCCGGTATTTAAAACGGGTCAAGCGTTTCTAATGCCTAATAACTGACAGATATCCATGCTGTAAAGGAGACATAAAAGTTCTTTTATTTTAATTCGTAGGGCTGGTCGGCCCTGCCTCTCCCACGAACATTATCAACCCGCCAACTCCATCTCAACATTGGCTCATACCGTCGACTCCTTGCCCGACTGTCTGCGTGAAGATTCCGGAGTGCCAACTAACACATAATAAAACCGAGTCATTTAGATGTTGGAGGGGTAGAGCATGACGCGGACAGTAGCGCCGAAGGACTTGGGGGGGAGGTTGTGGCGGAACTGAGCACGGACAACGCCGGAGTTGCCTGTTGTATTCTATTGTCAGTCTTGCACTTCACTGCAATTTCCACCATCATTGCCTGAGTTCCGTGCACCATATAGTTCAGTTTCACATACCGTGAGGACGAGTAACCTTGCCCCAGATCACCCGGATGTTGGAACCCCGAACCTCGCGCTTAGCCCGGTAGACGAAAGCGACCTTCTTGCCGAGGTAGAAGTTGGCAGCCTCGGTGTTGTCAACACCGTCGATCTTGATCAGACTATATCACCCATGTCAGATTCCGTGTCCCAGACTTCCTTCCGATATCAGATGCGGATCGGTACCTGGTGTTGGGGTTGACCTGGCGCTTGGAGCGCTGGTAGCTCAGGTGACGTCCCCTAAAGAGCAATTCGTATTAATCCTCTGTTCTGATCATCTGTCGCGGTCCCATCCGTATCCCATCCTCTTAAGTGGCTTTGATAGACGTATATCATTTCCG